TCAGCAAAATGCACTAGTACATTGCAAAGCAAATAGTTGTTTGAAGCTTAGCATTTTCCTCCAAAAAGATTTTTTTAAAAATAATTCATTAAAAGCAAGCTACTGAAACAACCAAATGAGRAATGTATTTCATGACAAAAAGAAAGGACAAAGAACTAGATGATAAAATACCTAAAGGAGATAACATCAATATTACCAAGACTGTTCTATAAACATTTTGAGTGAGAGGCCTTACAGTATATAAAAGAGTTTTTATCTACAGTCACCTAATGATAAAAAAAGCACAAGTGACACTGAAACAGCAGTGCATTTGATGAAATAAATCAATCTAAGGCAGTAGTGGGAAGGCAGGCTTGTTGTAAGAAATCTGGAGTGGAGGTCTCCGGGCTCAGTAGTTTTGGGGCTTGATGAAGAGAAGAGAGTCATCCCACACCCATTAGAGATGTAGTTAGTCAGCATGTCCCAGCTATTCAGTAACTGAACAGGACATAGAAATGATTATTATCCTGTGCAGAGAGCTACACAGAAAGGACAGACTGAATGTATACAATTTGCACTCTCCTTCTTCTCATGATAAAAAGACTGGCATAAATCACAACAAAAGAAAAATAAATATTGTATCCTGTGCTCAATTTTGTCAATACTTTCTCTAGAAATATAATTTCTTAATGCTTATGCCACTTACRTATCTACAGATACACCCCATACAAGACTAATTCTGCTATTATAAATCATATGCTCGCATTCCCAGCTATACTTCTTTATCAGATCATGCAAATAGCTCACTCCAATATCCATGTCCTTTCAGTAACTTGCTCAAAATAATTTTTCACTGAGCAGTCAGCATTTTCCTAGCCATTTTTACAACATTACAGAAGAATGTGTGGAATTTTATAGTCCAAAACATTTAACTTGCTTAAATTTGCTTTGGATGCGGACACAGTTGTCTTAAGATCACCAGAAGTGCAACTGAAGGAAAAAGCACAGGCATCATACTCATAAAAATGTCCTCRAGTTCCTTGATTTCCAGACCAATATTCTACAAATGGCAAAATATATAATTAGTCTTAAAAGCAGTATTTTCAAAATGAAAAAAAAAAAACCACACAATAATTTGACCTAAAAAAAAATCCATGAAAGAAACGTGCATTTTCTCAGCCCTCAGCCCAGGAGAAGAGAATCTGGGTAGGAGGCAGCAGCTACTAGTACCAATGGGCAGCCCAAACYGGCGCTGTTGCCCTGACCCATAGTTGGTGTCCACTGCAAATTGGCTCCCTGCTGCYAGATGGGAGTGAGCTAGCTGAATGTCCCATAGGGATGATGGGACCCAGATGCAAGCTGAACTCAACCCTTTCTGACCTTGAGGGAGCTGGTTTGGCAATGAAGCACACACAGGCTTTTTCCTTCTCTCCCTTAGCTCCCTGAGGTACACAGTATGTGTCTTACAACTTTTAATCCTTCGGTATACAGCTCATGGGACCAAGAACCATGACCTTTCCCCTATTAGGTGACTATCAGCATGGAGAATGGTCATAAACCCTGTGAGTAGTTTCCCATCCTGAGAGAGGAGTACAAAAGACTTCCTGTATGATAAAGCTTGTCCTTAGCAAACCATAACCAAAGGTTAAGGCATCCATGGCAAGCAGTGTGAAAGGGGAAAAACGTTAATTAGATTATTAAGTAATAATCTACAACAGCCCAAAGTCATGCTTGTTCTCTCTCAGTCCATACCTGCCTTACTGTTACCCTTTGTCAACTCCCTTCTCCAGTCTCTCCCATTTCCTCCCACCACATATGTAAAACTCAGCTCCCAAACCTGTAACTTCTATCCAGAGCACCCAGAGCTTCCTTTCTGAGCACCCTCACAGGCTCACTGCCTTACTAACCCCATCCTACCAGTATAGATTAGGGGCTGACCTGCTAGAAAGCAGCTCTGTGGAGAGGGATTTGGGAGTCCTCGTTGAACACAAGTTAACCACGAGAGAGTAATGTATCCTCGTGGCCAAGAAGACCAATGGGATCTTAGCCTGCATTAGGCTGTGTTGCCAGCAGGTCGAAGGAGGTGATTCTGCCCCTCTATTCACCTGTGGTGAGGCTGCATTTGCGGTATTGTGTGCAGTATTGTGTGCAGTTCTGGGCTCTCCAGTACGAGAAGGATGTGGAACTTCTAGAGAAGATTGAGTGTAGAGCAAGGAAGGTAATTTAAGGACTGGAATATCCTTTCCTCTTATGAGGTAAGTCTGAGCAAGCTGGGCCTTTTTAGCCTGAAGAAGAGAAGATTGAGAAGGGATCTTATCAACATGTACAAATATCTGAGGAGAGAATTCTTGGGGGTGACCAGCGATAGGACAAGTGGTAATGCATATATATTAAAWCACAGGCAGTTCCATTTCCATGTGAGGAAGAACTTCTTTACTGTGAGGGCAACAGAGCCCTGGCACAGGCTGCCCAGGAAGGTTGTGGATCTCCTTCTTTGGAGGTCTTCCGAATCCGCTTGGATGCTGCCGTGTGCCCCGTGCTCTGGGTGTCCCTGATGGAGCAGGGGGTTTGAACTAGATGAATGCCAGAGGTCCCTTCAAACCTCAACCATTCTGTGATCTCCATCCTTTCAAATAGGATTAAATTAGGAGAGCTGACAAGAGTACTAGAATAGTTATCATTTGTGGGAAGCTYGGATGTAAAACAAGATACTTTGGTCAAAAGCTCCAATGAACTGCAAGCAGCTGAAAAGCAAYACCCTCCATCTCTGAAACCACTATTTGTATCATCATTATATACAAAAGATGAGCAGAAAGTTAAGCAAGAGTGTTCAATTATCATGGTTTTCCTAGAAGCATTACTAATGTCCCAGCCTTTCTTATTATCACCCACACTAGTCACATTGCTCTCCTTGGCCTTATAAATTTTATTAATCTTAGGGTACCAAAACAAAGAGCTTGAAAAGCATCATGAGGACTGATTTTATTGAAGAAGGAAGATGCAACAAGTAGACAGCTGAGGCCTTTTAATGCCTGCAGCATGTGGTTGAATGCTACTTTGCCTAAGCTGAGGGTTGATAATTGAAGCTTTACGTTGTCAGTAAACAGGTGACAAAGCCTGACTGAGCCACAATGCTGTAAGGCAGTTTCCTGAGACACTGCAGGAGCAGTGGCTCTTGGACTACCCTGAATCCCAGATATAGATGAAATTACTTAAACCTTAATTCACATGCATAAGCATGGTACCTGTTTGGCTTTGACCAAGTGCCAGACAACAGTCTGTGCAAGTGTAAAGATTCAACACATTAAAAAGAGGTAAAATATGTATGATGTGAACCCAAGCAAACTGCCAGCCAGAAACCATGCTGCTTTGCATTCAGAGAGTAAAGTTTTAACTTGCTTCTCRCAGGTATTTTTCTCATAGTTTTAGCAGTAATCATTAATATTAGAAAGAACAACACAGTTAAATTATAATTGTATTTTCTGGAGCATTTAATAGTTTATCAGATAGATTCAGTCATATTCTGTATTATTTGCCAATATGCTGTGGATTAACATATCAAATATTCCTTTTGAATGATGATCCCACTTAAATTATAGCTGTCACACCTTCTCAACTCCCTTTAAAACTTACTCTCTCCAGCACTACTTCAGTAACTGGGCAATGTAAATCCCACTTCAGCAAAGACAACTTGGTGAACTGATGCCTTTCATCCCTTTGCTGCTCTAAACATTGTCTCAAAAACAAACAAACAAAAAAAAAGAAGAGAAAACTGAAATTCTTTCAGCTTTTTCTCTGAAGTTCTTAGGTAGACTAAGGAATTGCTATAAGTTTCATTAGAACYATAAAATGTTTTTCCTAACCAGCATCTGTGAAATCTTACTTTCACTAATTCCAGTCTAGCTGACACTTATTTCCACCAGGGGCTGCATTCCTGCAAAGGGGCATCTCCTGCAGGTGACACAAAGAAGCTGTCCAGAACTCTGGGATAGCAAGTGAACACTAACCTCCAACACCCTAAGCCAGGTTTCACAGCAATACCCAGCAGGAGCAATAGGACAGCATCCTGCAGGTGCTTCTCATTCAGGCAGAGTGACCCATCACACCTCTCCAGCATATGAAAGAAAAAGAAATGGATCATGTCAGTAGGCGTGCCAGTACATGTGTGATCAGAAGTGATAAAAAGAAGCACAATTAAAAAGCATTTAGGAGCCTTCATATCCAAGAAAACAGAGAGAGGAGAGGTGGTTTCTCCCAGCAATACTTAGGCAAAGATCACTCAAAGAAAACATTTCAGTATACTTAGTGCTGCATTYGTTTTTGAAAGGTTTGACCAAGCTGCCATGTGAAACTGAAATTAACAGTCAAATTGYGGCTTTTTAAGTACAGGATGTGGTGGGGAAGAGAATTAGAAGAAATAAACAGTAGGGGTTTATAGTTTTATTTTAGTTTTTTTTAATATATAAATAAGCACACTGAAAGTATTTTTCACAACTCATCATCACTTTTCTCTGTAAAACCATACTGTTATCTCAACTTCTAAGAAACTGCTTAATAAGCATATAACTAATTATCTCCAGAAATAATTCTAGATAAATATTTATACATTAGATGCTGACTTCAAAATATTTCTTAGAAAATTGCCTATTGCCATTTCTCATTTCCATAGTAAGTACAAATTCAATGTGGCTTTGTTTCTGCTATTATAAATGCAACCAGAAAACATAATTGGGGGAGAAAGATACAAAATATGAAATTGTCCTCTCTATCATATAACTATCCACACAGAAAACCTCTTTTATTTCTACATTTCTTTTGGATGGCACCTCGGCTGGCTTTGTTTTGGAGTCTCCTGTGCCACTTTCTGGTTTCCACCAGAAAATTTTTACTAAATAGTTTTACTAAAATAGTTACTAAAATAGAAAAAAAAAAAAAGTGCTACATTTTCACCATCAGTTTGTTAGTTTGGCCCAAAACTATGTCAATTATTGATTTGAAGGAAGACTTTTTTCAATGATATTCAAATGTGCATTTCTCCAACCCAGCCTTTAAAACTTCCAGTTTCAAGAGCTGTATTTAGAAGAAAAGAGAAATAAGTTACTAAAACACCTTGCTCTTCCCAGCTATCTTCCAGTCTCAGCTGGATGTCCTGCTTTGCACCAAAGTCTGAATTAGTTTTTTCAAGACCAAATTCAGGTAATTGCCTATCACTAGTAGCTGAGTTCATACTGGGCTGCTTGTGCCTCCACTGTTATGAGTTCATACCCATAGTTCTCATTGTAGTTCTGATAGATACTCTCCGATTCAATAGAAAGATCAGCTGCGTGTATATCATCATACTGTGGTGCTGGGTTGAAGTTCTTAGTCTGCAATCCAAAGAAAATATATACCATTATACTACCTTGTAGAATTTTGTTGAAACATCATAAGTATACAGTGCAAAAGAAAAAGATAAATAAATAAATAAATAAATAAATAAATAAATAAATAAATAAATAAATAAATAAAAAGAGAGAGAATGGAAGAAATCTGGTAGGTGATTGTACTTGCAAATGAACTGGATCACAAAGGAATTGTGAATTTATTTCTCTAAATTCCATTAGCAAATAGGTAGGGCACAGAGGGTGAAACCTGACCTGGCAGAAAGACACCAAACSAAAACTACCTTTAAARTGCTTAAACAGGGCAGTCTCTGGAATCTTTTTTTCTTGATATGATTGAAAATGAACTTAGAAATGTCAGTATATTCTTCAAAAAAATCTTAACAATACTAATGTAGCTGGAAAAAAAAAAAGAAAGGAAAAGAAAAAGAAAACATGAAGGCATACACATTCCTATTTGGAGACCCAAAATTACCAGAAACTTTTGACTTTTACTTCTGCAGCTCCCACTCTTGTCTGTCAAATTGTGCCAGCTTACAATAAACAAGGCACACAGCCATGAATTTAACCATTAGCAGAAAACAAACTATGAAATAATTGGTCCTTCAGTGTGCATTAAATAAGGCAGAAGACCAGAAGGTGTAGCATATTATCATGCTTTTAAATATGTATCAGAACACACTGAAATTAGAGTGGAAGTAAAACTTGTAGTGGCAAGTTTAGTGCTGCTTTTCCCAGAGTATTCAAAATGGAACTTGAAAAAAAGAAAGTTTGTGTGTTTAATGCAGCATAAATAAGTGATTTTTCCATTATGATAAATGTCTGTCCATTTTCATCATATCTTTAATTGTTTAGATTCCTGTCTTGAAGTACAATACACATTCTTGAAGAAAAGATCAGAGTTAAGGTTGCTCTGTAATGCAGAATTCTGACTACATTAACTTTGGAGTGAGCTTAAATTCAGTTTAAACTTTGGCATTATAAATGTAATCTATAGTATTCTTAGGCAGGAAAAGCTATATTACATTCTTCCTTAGTGCTTGAGAAATTAGTGAAATATGGTGAATTCCCATGAATATAAGGACATGCARCTAGCAGAAGCTCTCCTAGCTATATACTTGTTCCTTATTCACCCATCCAAACACAGCCAGAGATAAATGAGAGGTTTGTGAGAGCAGATACATGTTGCAAAGGAATTGCACGTATTATTGAAGTAAACACAAAAAAAAATCCCACTTACAGTAACTGGTGCTTCTGGTCCAAGTTTCGATTTACATAAATGGGAAGCTGAAAGTAGGATGTTGGAAATTCAAAACAGTTTGATGGGATCACCGCTGCTTTGTCTATAGTTCCCACCTAGTTGCCCTCTGCTGTTGACCTCCTTCTAAATATAGTTCCAAGTACTGGTTTAGTTCTCTCTTTTATGTCATAGTTTAGAACACGCTCTTGAGAGTGCTCTTTCTTGTTTTATTTTCCCCTTCAGTAAAACTCTTAATCACCTTAAGAGTCAGGATTGAATCAACATAGTCTTTTTTTCATATGTGTACTTTTTCTCAGTGCTGAAGGGACACGATGAGCCAAGCACCCATGTGAGCTGCACACTTCATTTGCCCCTCTCCCTGCCTGCCCCAAACTGCACTTCACTCTGTGGCAATGACTGGTTCCCATCCAAGAGCTGCAAGCACTAGTCAGTGCTGTCACCGCTCATACTCTCCCTCTGTTTTCCACTCCTGCCTTTACATTTTTCTCACCCTGCCCTCTCTGTCCTTCTCTGATTGTCCCTTCTTGCCAACCCTCTTTTGATTTGTACCCRATTCATGAAATATCTGCAATTTATATACTTTGTGGGGGAAATAATCTGAAAGAYGTACCCAGAGGAGGAAATCCAGGCAGGCACTAACTTTAGAGCAGAACTGAGGCAACAGAGGGGAGTAAATTAGGCACTCTGATTCTCTGCAAGTTCCTTCCGTTTACAGTTCGCCTACCCCAAAGTTGCCTTCTTCCAGCTTTTCATATCTCTTTCTCCTTAAAATATTCTCCTTTCTAGGATACTCTTCTTCCTGTCTCCATTTTAAGCCCCCACTTACCTCCCAACCAATTCTGTCAGCAATTAGTTATATGTCCCTATTCCTGCACATAATCAGTGATGAGGTGTCTTACAGTCCCATCTGAGATCATGGCTATTCTCCAGCTGACTTACCCTTGCACCTGAAAATCAAGCATAAAATCACACCAATACCAATGGCAGCAGCAACACTCGCAGATCCTACTGTCACGAGATAGTGAAGACTGAGGGAAGCATCTGAAAGATGAGAAAAGAACTACTTACAGAAATAGATGTCAGCATCCACTGACTAAGATGTTTCTTCGTATGTCAGTAAGACAGGGATATTAGTCCTCTACTCCCATAGCTCAAATGAGCTATGAGACATAGGTATAGGTGCCAATCAACAATAGGGAGCTGCACTACACACATAGTTGTTCATGTACACAAACAATCTTCTGTGCTTGACCCCACATGCCTKCATGATCTCTTTGTTCAAATGAATCACCCAATCTGATCATTTATCCCTTCAAAGTTTTGCTATAAATGACTGGGCTATGTTGACTGCTGTACTTCATGCATCTACTGTGCATTCTTCTCCCATTAGTAGAACTTACGTGAGGTCAAGCACAGCCAACTAAATGGAGTTTTACATTTTACCACCCTGGAAAAGATCCCTTGAGAGTCACAGACAGCTGTTCCCCAAGGAAATTTTGTCCAGGCCTTAATCTTATGAGRAATTGGGACAAAATCAACTCCTGTGGTTCAAATTTCACACCTAAAATGAGCAAACTGTGTCAGAGTGGCAGATGAAAGGAACTCTTCTGTCACCAGTGACTGAAAAGGTCATTTAAACAGTATGATGAACTCTAATAAAAACAAAGCTAGAGTAGAAGGGAGCAAGAACAGACAGCTTCCCTATACAATGTCAGGAACTTCAGATTTCAAAGAAAAAACTCAAAATTATTAATTCTTCTGCCAGTGTCTACTAGGATTTTGATATTTCTCCCTCCTCCCCATGCAAACAATCTATGAAGCCCTGGTAGTCAATAAATTACAGAACTAAAAAAAGATATTTACACAATAGATCTAGGGACAGAGTCTTGTTGGTGGCTGGATGGGTAACGCGGCAGGTCACGGTGGGATTCATGTTGCTGTTCCAGTCTACAGAGCTCACTCTGGTTACTGTTCCATTGAGATGATGAACTTCTTTCTCAGTGCTGTGGTTATTTKCCGGTACCCAGGAGATTTCTGCAGCTGGCTTTCCTGCAGAGGCTTGACAAATCACCACCCCACCATTGTCAGTGGTCATAGTCACTGTAGGAGGGACTGTGGAAGAAGAAAATGACCCACAATCATTATTTCCTGCTCAATATAATATAATCTTTCTAGTCAAGAAACTTAGAATAGGTGATTTTCTTTAGTTTATATCTCCCATTCAAGACATTTTAAAGTAATTTGGAATATTAGCATCATCTGTCTTTAGGGAGAAGAAGAAATATATTAAAGAGTCAAARACTAGTACCTCCAAAAATTGCTAACTGCATATAAAAGTCTTGTTCCATCATGTTTTATGAAAGAAGATAATAAAAAGATCACAAGATGGGATAAGGAATGGGCTGTTTTAAATTATGAGTTACAAAAAAAGCAGTTAACATACTGAATAAAATATCACTAAAATTTAACTAATATGACGAGAACATAAAATCCATCCCTAGGTAAAATGTTTCWCAAAACTAATGGAAATCCAAAGATTGTTTTTATTTTTATTTTAGTTATGAAATCTTATAGACAGCTCTCAGCACTTCTTGAAGAGTGAAATGTTTCCAGATAATGCCTTAAAACTCTTGCTTTCTTCTCGTTTAATCCTTCCTCAGGCAAAACACACATAGACCTTGCTGTGAATTTTTGCGAACATTCTCTGGCTGAGCTTAGAGTAGCAATATTTGCTATCTTCTGTTTGCATTAACACATAGGAGTGCATATTCCAAGTCATTCCACACTAAACTGTTGTATTTGGTTTTGGTAACTGGACAACAACCCAGTCCAAATGCATATCTTCTCATCCCTGTTTTCGAAAAGCCGGTTTGACCAAGTCAGCTCAAGGTACCTCGTACCCCCTCGCTAAGGGGTCAAGAAGTCTCCTACTTCTTTATGTACAATTCCAGCATGTATCCAAAATGGATTTGGTCTTTTAACATCAAATCAAATATATTTTTTTATTTCTGCATCAAAAAATAAAAGGCATAAGGTATGTCTTACCTATCACAGACAGAGAATAAAGAAAAAGAAAATTGCCCTCACTGTTGACAATTTCACAAGTGTAATTCCCCTCATCACCAAGGTTGACAGGATAAATCCGAAGAGCTGGGTTACTGTCAGGTGAATATTTCCATGTCATCCTCTCACTGCAGTTCAAATTTCTTGTCTCATTGGTATCATATCTGTAGGCCAACAAGCAGTAAGTGCTGAATTTCGTCTTCCATGTTACCATTAGCAAAGGTTGTTTGATTAGGAAAGGGCTACTCAACACAGCCTCATGACCAGCCTCCACATTCACTATGTTATAAGCTACAAAATAAGAAAAAAAATATATATTATTCTACAACCATCATCAAAAGCGTAGGAAGCTCTTGACTGTGTTTATTTAAAAAAATTCTACTTCATTTTTCACTGAAACACTGAGTAGATTCTATAACTTCTTTTTATACTATGTAGTTTATATACTGACTGAGACTGCTGCATTTCAGGCAGGTATCATTCCTTGGAAGACTAATGATACTACAGGTCCAAACCTTGTAGTTTTATCACACTTGGAGTGTCACTGTGAATCTAGAGTCTAACATTTTTGCTATTTAAAAATGTTTCTTTTAGGATGGCCGCCTCAGGGACACAGAGCTCTATGCACACCCATAAGAGCAGTATCCAATTTCCAGATCCAGCTTCCTGCTGTCACTGTTTCAGGACTGGGAGTGCAGTGGAAATGGCACCTTTCTGCTGTGGATTCCCTGAGTGCTGGTTAACTAAAGTCCTCCAACTTTTTTTAGTCAATAGATTTATTTCCACCTTCACATGAGCTTTTAAAAAGTGATGAGAAGAGCAAGACTCACCCTTGAGGGAAAGAAAAGTACATAGAAGAAATAATAGGCTATTCAATTAGGTGCCTTGGTTAAGGTGTAAGTAGTAGCAGCAGCAGTGATGGAGCCTGTAAGGAGTTTAAAGCCCAAGATCACTTTGTGTAGTATTTCAGATATGGGACATACGTAGATCCTTCTGCCAGAAATAATCTCTTTTATGATGTTTTCTTGTTCGAAGAGGAAATGGATCTTCAAGTGATCTGTGACAGACTTCCTTCAGTTTTAACATCCTGGCCACTCTGGGAGGCTGAAGGATTTAAAACTGCTAAGGAGATATCACCATTTGTTTGCACATTAAAAAATAAGCAAAATTTCCCTGGTGAACTGTGAAGTTTCAGAGTGTCAGTGAGTTGGGAATACAGAGCATCAAGCAGCAGTGCATGTACTTTGCGATCTTACCTCTTACTCTCACTTACCTGGGGTTTGASCCAGGGTGATTAACAAGAAAAAGAGTGCAGCCAGAACCGCCCAGGTTTGAGCCATCTTCAGCAGGATGCTTTGACACAGCAGAAAGCAAAGGCAAAGAAAAAGACATAGAATTACAAATAGTTGTGCAAGTGCCTTCAAAAAGAACCCACAGCAAAATCTTTGTTTCCCTTGAAAACAGAAATTTGAGAAAAGACTCCAGGTCTATACTGAAGAAAGGAAAACAGAAAGGGTTGTGGAAATTAAGGCTAGTGTTTATAAGCAAGTTTTGAAAATCCAGGATCTCTGGCACCCTTTTCTAGTCATCTCCATCTGTTCACCATCCACATTCATCTAACTAGCACAAAGAATAGCAAGAGACCCGCTATACCATTAGAGACTTATCCACAGAGAATGAAAAGGTTGTGCTAGAGGGCACATGTAAGCTTTACAACTCTTTCTGAAAAGTAAAGGCAAATGAAAGATCATGATCGAGCCTTCATCATCTGCTTTAAGAAAGCAACCCAAAGAGGTAATTCCTAATGTTTGCCATGCTTTYAATTTCCCAAAAGATAACTCCACTTCCCTGGTAGAGCAAAAAGGACAATATTCTTATTGTAAATGATCAAAACTTTGTAAGTTTATTTCCTTTTGGGCAGTGTTTTGGAGAGGCATTTAGTAATATATGTAACTATATATACATATATATATATTTAGTAATATTAGTAACTATATATATGTATTTTAAGAAAGTATTCTGTATTAATTGCTAGCTTATTTTTATCAAACTGGCAACTATTCATTGGTTAAACAGAGACGATTACTTTCACTCAAACTTCTTGTGTTCAGTTCCACACAAAATAAAAATAAAGTCAAAATATTTATGATTCTTAGGGGAGAATTTTGATAAAATCTCTTTCAGCTGATGCTTGAACATAAATTTAGGTAAGAACATCACTGAAACTTTTCTGCAGTCAGATATCATACATAAATGATCTCAGTCTGGCAAGGCAGTTTTGCACTATACTGTGTAAATTATGCACGTGTGTATTCACACAGTTCAAATCCCAATGGCTTCGCTCAAGACTTCAGGTTGCAGCTCATTTTGGAGAAATATCTATTGCAACTCACATAGATTCTGTCATGACCAAGAGATTGATTAGGGGGGTTGGACTAGATGATCTCTAGATGTCGCTTCCAGCCTCAACCATTCTGTGATTCTGTCTGATTCACTACTGATACTGCAGCCCCAACCAAGGGGCACATGAGAGTGACTGTATTTTCTTTTCTGATGTTGCTGTCATGAATCAGTCATTAATAACAAAGAGCAAGTTCATGTGCCACTAAAGACTGACAGATCCCATAGTGGTTCCATGTCACTAGTCTTCCAAAGCTTTTATCCTCAAATATTTGCTCCCTTTTCTTCACTCTGGTTATAGAGATTCAAGCAGCATTCCCTCCTACTCCGGTTCTTAATTGTATCTCTTCCGATCCTCTCCCTACGGTATCCTGCTTGTTGGACAGACAGTACAGACCTCCAGCTTAATACTCAGAGCGACTAGAGTCCTGTCAGAAAACGTCAGAGGTGGCTTTCTTAATCGTTATTGTTCTCCAGAAACTACCGTTTTACACCACAGACTGGGCTTGGAAGCTTGATTGGGATTTTTGCTCCATGCATCCACCCCATTTACCTGCACTTTTTTCTTCAGAGGCTATCTTGTCCATAAAGCCATGTCGTTTTCCATCACGCGCCTCTGCATTGCCAAAATTTTCTTCTTTTTGGCCTTTTTTGGCATTCTCTCCTTTATGCATTCATTTATGTCTCTTCAATACTTTCTGCAACCAAATGCAATCAACTGCAACCAACTAGAGATGACTGAAAAACGGTGTTTCCATCCTATGGAAAATATATTTCAACAGTTGCCAAAGTCAAAATCCAATATGTACCAGACTAGCAAATAATTTCATGCAATGGTTGATTGAGAAATGTTATTGTTGTTGCAACATAACTTTCCTTCTGGGCTATTTTGATTAGGTGCTGTTCATATTCATTTTTAAGTGTGAGTAAATTCCTCAGAATGTACTGGGAGGAGGGTAAGAAAGGTGGACAGAATTTAAGCCTCCCTGGGCACACACAAACCCATATCCTCAGCTGATACCAACTGATATAAAAGTTACAGGCTTCAAAAACGTACTATTAAAATTCCATTTTTAAATATATCAAGTAAGGATGCCTGGTGCACAGAGAAAAAGTAAATAAAAACAGATTACTGCCATATTTGTGTCAAAGAAATATCAAACACTCACACATTTGTGATCCGAATGCAAGAGGAATTTTTTTAAAAAAAAACACTGCACTATGTGTGCACATTCAGACAACAGCCWGGCAGGTTTTCTGCAAAGTTCTGACGGAACTCTGACAAATCTAGATGAAAACCTTTCATTTCAACCTACAAATAATGTCAGTGCAACTACACTGATCAGTATTATACTACTAACCTGCAATATCGTAATGTAACTCCTATATTACAAACCTCCCAAATTTCATTTTTTATTCACTGAAAATATGTGCCACAAGTGAAATATTTAGGTTTGCTTCATGTTATTCAATACCATTTTAAGTGTTTTTTTTCCAAGATGAATAAATTACTCATGGCGAGGCATTTTTAGCAAAAAAAAAAAAAAAAAAAATTTGATTCTATCTTGCCAAAAAAAAGGGTTTTTTAGTCAAAATCACATAGTGAATTTGACCCAATTTTCAAATAGTTTTCAGTCCCTCTAAAACAAAAAGAAGCCTCCACAATGTTTAAGAACAAACTCAGTATTCACCAATTTTACTAGAGCTATATATATTCATATGCAGAATATTGGAGTACTTTAATTTGCCCTGAAGAACTACTCTTTTTAAAAATGCATTCAAATCATATATATGTATATGTGATTATTTTTTCAAAAATACAGGTCTTAATTATTAAAAATGGGGCATTACAGAAAGAACAGAAGATATACTGTTTAAATATTCACATACAAAAAAAAATGGAATTTAGATTGTGATTTTTAAGGTTCACATCCCTAAACATTTATGCCAGTTACCAAGAAGTAAATCTCAAAGTAAAACCTGAAGAAAAAAAAGGGAAACCAAACATAGATTAATCAAATTCATTTAAAAGTAGCAAATGGATATTTGCAGATTGTCTTGTGCCATTTCCTTTGATGGAATTAAAATGCCTCAGTAACTGCATTAAAATAAATTAAAATTGGAAGCCAGCCTTGACAGCCGCGGCTGGCAGAAAGCCACACGGCGCGTCTGCCTCTCCTCCGCTCGCCGCGGCGTTCCAGCTGGAGGCTGCCACCGCTCGCGCTGGGGCTCATCCCGATGAATACTAAGGACGGAGGAAAGTTACCCRGTTGCCAGCCTGGAGAAACGCCCTGTGATCACCGAAGACGAGCAGCAGCCGCAGCACCAAGGGGCTCCAGGCTTGCGGTATCCCTCTTCTGAGGAAGGGAAGAGGATGTCGGTGCCCACGTTGGCTCCGGCAGTGACGGTGGTTGTGGTGGCAGCTTACGAGGCGCCCACGCGCTAGAAAACTGGTCAGAGAAACCGGAGCTCGCCTCCCCACGTCAGGCCCAGACAGCTCCGCAAAACTGGGGACGAGCTCAGCTCAGGGCTACCAGTCCCAGATACACGATGCTCTTTCCATTGAAGCTCCTGAGATTTTTACTGTGTTGCTGATCAGTGTCAGAGACAGGCATGGCCCTACCCCCCAAATGGGAGAAGCTGTGCCCTCTGAATCAGCTTGGCCAAGATAAGACATCTGCTTATATATGTCCCTCCGGAGGATGTGACACAGTTAAAACTAGGGAATCCAACTGCTTTCTCACGCGAAGAACAAACCGCACCTTTAGGTTGTCTATAGATCATACACAAGCTACAAGCCTAGTGCTAACCAGAGCATCAACTTAAAATTAAATGCAAGCAAGTCCAACATAATGAAAATGTTTTGAAACTAAGCTGAAGGAGGAAGAGGGCAAATTGTAAAGAAGCAAGAACCAGAGTAGCACTCACTGTTGCAATGCTTTAGAAAACATCCCCATGTTCCATAGCCATTCCCATGATTAACTCAGGAAAATATAGCTATGCTTTTTAATGAAAACAAGTAGTAGAAGAGTCCATGTTTGGGAATGTCTGTTCTCTAAAATTTCGGGTGTTTTTGGCCAGGAGAGTGGAAAGAACAGGCACTTCCACACAGCTATGTCAACTCTGCCACCTCTCATGCAAGTATAACACAGCAGGAAGGAGTACCCAAAGCAAGGCTACACTATTTAAAATACCAAAACATGGTTTCAGTGCAGTCAGGACTTTCACACAGCAGCATCTGCCTACCTTGCAATAAGATGCAGCATCTGCTACAAACATTAAATGTTTCCTTCACAGTAAATAACTGGAGCAGTTTTAATGGCAAGCTCAAAAGTTCTCCCCTTTCTCCTCAAAACGGGAACATGAGCTGCTAGACATCCGAGTTGTGCCAGTTACCCAAGGAAATGCAGCAGTGGTTTTGCCTGCAAGTCTGCATTTCCTGTGTATCTCGAGGCCAGGCCCTGGTCTGGGTTCTGAGTAGCTTATTAACTACTTTCCGAGTATTTAATTCCAGTTTCGTGCCAGGTCTCCGAGCAGCCTGCAGACCCTTCTCAGGGAACAGGCACTCTTGAACATGTCCCCAGTCAYGCCTGAGCAACAATCCACTTCTGARCATTCCTGGAGTCCTTCAGCTGGAAATGGAGTTGTAAAATATGAGAAGATCCAGCAGGAAGGTGTACCATGACAAAAGGTAAATATTCCCTAAGTTTCTAACTCTCAGTAAATGAAGAGTTGCATCATGAGAGAGGAAGATTACAATATTTGCTTGCCCTATTCTTAAAAATCTTCCTTAACCATTTGTTGTGTGCCACTGAAAGAAAAAAAATACTGGGCTAGATGGACCCAGACAGTATTTTTGTCCACTGAAAAATACTTGGCCTTGAAAATACACTCAGAACTCATTCACAGTAATTTTTAGAATTAAAACTAATATTATTAC